AAACAATTTAAGCACTATTTGATCTGTCAGTATTTGAACTGGCTTTGATATATTTTGTTCCTTAGAAAACAAATTTATGACTTAAATATTTATGTTGACTTTGGGGGCTTGGTATACTCACTAAGAGAATTAATGTATTCCTCTCTACACTGTAGAAAAGATTTTCGTCATCTTATTTTTAACCTGATCTTAGCCAAAAGGATGAGAAGAGGTTGGTTCTATTTTTAAGAAAATAGAGGCAGTCACGGTGGAGGGAAAACTGTGACTAGCTGTAATTTGACTGAAAATCCTCTCTTCCTCACGTATTCATCTGCCCCAAAACTGCAATGCAGCTAGGACAAGAGTAATGAGAAGGTCAGAGTAAATGTAGAGAGAAACTCTGGAGGTGTCAGGTAACAGTAAAATGTACCGCTATGTAAAAGCTGATAGTGCAGGCAAGTGATCCCAATACTTGGTAGGCAGAAGCAAGATGATCACAACTTTGGAGTCAGCCTAGGCAGTTTAGTGATTCCTGGTCTCAAAATAAGTGTAAAATTCCTGTGATGTAGCTTAGCACGCAGTCAGGCCCTGAGTTAAAGCCCAGATATGGTACACACACACACACACACACACACACACACACACATACACACACAGACGGCAGACGGCAAGTATTGTCATGGTACTCAGGAATTTTTATCCCTTCTTGAAAATGTGCTCAATTTATACATATTTCACATATTTAGTTGAGATTTAAAGTAATATAGCCACTATTTCTTTTGCTTCTGGCATGTAGAAGAATCCCAAAAATAGTTGTTAAAGAGAAGAAATGTTGGGTATTTATGTATTTTTCTCAGTGTGAAATATTGTATTTCTATACAATGGAGTATTATTCAGCTATAAAGAAGGATCACATTGAGATATTTATCAATAAATGGGCACAGCTTGAGACCATACTCATAAGTGAAATAAATCAATCTCGCATGTGTGAATACCGAATAGTTTCCCTAATGTAAGTAATGATTCAAATATATAAAAATATGTGGTAATCATGATTCCCCATTAGGTGCCCTTGAAGCCTTATAAAGTTTTCACTCATTAATTAGAAAGGCTTTATTCTGGGCTTCTTGATACGGAAATATTTGAAGCTAGAGTATATGAAGTTTTATCCAAATATTTCAAGGAAAAAGACATAAACTATGGTAACTACTATTAAGTCGGGTTATATGGTGGTGAAGTACTAGGTTGCTGAAACAGTCATGCTTTGACCTCTATTGTTATATTGTTATGTCCTGTTTTATCTCAATCTCCCCCTTATTCTTTTAAAAAATTATTTAGTCATTTCTTATGTTTGTCTTACTTAAGGGAAAAATTTTAAAAATTAGGATATATATATAGTAACTCTTTTTGATTTCCTATTAACTTGTTTTGAAGTCCTGTAATACTCCCATGATCTTGTTTTGACTGATTAGACTCTGTTCCATTCTATATGATAGTATCAAGTTTGAGGATATAGGCAACTACTTTGAAGGCAATAAGATTCACTAAGATGCCCATTCTGGTTTTGACTGTTGTCTTCTTTGGAAGTCCTGTAATGTTTACAATGCCTAAGTTTTATTGGTCTTGTTCTCTAATGTTTAGTATTAATAGACCATAAAATGGCAATTATTCTAGGGCTCACTTTAATAAATGTTTGTACATTAAAATTTTCAAATATATTTTTCAATAATTTCTGTATAATCTGGAAGGTTTAACATTAAAATACACTGTTAATTAAAACTCATAATATATTAGTGTTTGATTTCAAATATTTAGGATTTTCCCTTGATCATTTGAAGAAAATTAATGAAATTCATTTTCGTTTAAAAAACGTATTAGAAATTTTATGACAAACTATGAAAACCTGAATTAGAACTTCATTCTTCTTCCGTTATTTTAACTTGCTTTCAATTGAGTATCTCATCAATGTAGTGAATTTTGTACATTTTATGGGAAAAAAACAAGAAGAAACTATATTCTTATTTTTCCATTTTAGGTGACATTTAATTTTTGATGTATATCATGAATACATATGAAACAGTTTTCATAATGTAACAAATGTATGACCAGCAAAAATCCGATGCTATTATTTAATCATCGTTACCACTCCTGTTGGAAAGTTTTCTCACTTCACTCATTTTAAGACTTAGAGTGCTTATTCAGATCATGTTACTTATTATCGATCTTAGTTACACTTTTGCTACCGTTATATTGTTTTTATCAATTCCTTTAAGTGTCTATAATTTTACAAAGCCTTCACAAATAACATTGCATTTCTCTTTATCCAACAATATATCCACTCATATAACATTAATTTTTCATCAAGCTGTTCACTATTTTTGTTACATATTTATTATATTTGTGCTGATAAGTTTAAGCATTAATTTTAATTAAAGTAATATGTTCTAAATTAATTTGTGAATTCTGAGTTTTACCTCATATTCCCAAATGGACATTTCAAATGTCAAATCACACCTTCTAAAATGTAATCCATAGTTTACCATATTTGATTGATAAATGAAGTCTAGTGCCAAGAAAGTAATTTTGGTTTTTTAGAGAAGTTAGAGCATCTCTTCATTTGAGAACAGAACATTTTCTGGAACAAGATACAATATATAATCACATAAAAGCAATTTTTAGGCTTCGATATCAAAACTCAATTCAAAGGATATTATTGAAATATAATATTAATGCTGACAAGTTGATGCTTCTTTTAAAATTTACTGTGTTATGGAAGCATGCTTTATAGTAGTATAATACTATATAACAATAGATTGTATTTAAACCATTTAAAAGCTACCTGTACAAAACAAATCATTTACAATTTTTATTCTTAACAATTGGATATTAAATGCCTCACATTTTAATCATCTTACACAGTTTACAGAGAATTTTGAATCTTGATCTAATTAAGACTCTCTGGTACCATAATCTGATTGGGCTAATATTCTATGACTTTTATTATTAAGTAAACAATAAATACCACAAAAATAAGTGTGTTATTCAGAATCAATCAATGAGTACATGGGGAAACCAGCACTAAATTTAACTCTTTATGTTGTCTAAGGGTTTTTCTCTAATCATATTCATTCAATAAATGTCTTTGACAATTTGACATATGTGTGTGTGCAAATATGATATAGTTATATCACATTTTTCTCTGTGTAGTACATTGATATACAAAGTGTTTTCCAATAAATTTGAATGCTGTCACTTCTCACAAACTGTCAGGTTAAAGAAGAAATTGTCCACACGAGGGAGATAAAATTACCTGACTAAGCTTATTTAGAAATAAAGTTAGGATTCAAGTACAGAGTCCAGGATTAGATTTTAGAGGAAAAACCTAGTGATTTTTAAAAATATTTACTTTCACTGACATATAATTCTTTTATTTACTTATGGTATACAGTTTTAAAGCTTATAATACAGCCCAGATTTATAATTAAATCAGAGTAATGAATATTTCTATGTCCTCAAATATTATTTCCATGTTATGAGCACATTCAAATTGTTTGCTCTAGTTATCTTAAAAAGTACAACTAATTGTTCTGTAAACGCTGCAGAATATTAGGACTTCTTTTCTTTCCCACTGACAGGCCTTTGGTGCCCATTTACCTACTCCTGCTCCATGTCCTCCACTTCCTATCCTCTTCCAACCTCTATTAACAGTTTATGTAAACATTCACTTGTCAAAGGACCTCTTTGCTCCTTCCGTCTCTGGCTACTGTGGATTGTGCTGTAATGACAGCATAGTACGTTCCCTCTTCAGTACAGGATCCCTTTCCCTTAAGACACATAACCCAGGAGTGCGATCACAGGCTCTTGTCGTTGTTCTGTGCTTCTGAGTAACCTCTGCACTGTACTTACTTGCATTTTCATCAACAATTATAAAAACTCCTCCTTTTCCCATCCTTATGAGCTTTTGGTTTTCCTTATTTTTTTGTTAATTCTTTAGCTGATGTAAATGAATTAATATTGCACATAATATGGTAGAATATGACGTTTTGATACATGTATACATTGTATAATGCTTAAATTAGATGAGTTATCTCTCTATCCTCAGGTATTTATCTTTTCACAATCTTTACATATTGGGCTGGGAGTTTAGCTCAGTAGCATAAGTGCTTGCCTGGCAAGTGTGAGGTAGTGAGTTCAATCCCCAGTACCAACAAAATGAAGCAAAACAAAACAAAACAACAACAATAACAAACTTAAAATTTTTAATACATGTAGCACAGAGTTGATATCTACAGTTATATCATGTGTATTTAAAAGTCAGAGCTTCTTGATTCTATCTAACTGTAACTTAGAGTTCATTAAAAACAAAACTCCCTTATTACAGAACATTTTAAAGTAAGTGGGCCAGTTGCAGCCTGTGCACCATAATTTGTTAACCTCTAATTTATGAAAATCAAACTGGCTTCTGACTTTCATACATTTGACTATATTTCATAGTACTGGAACCATAGTAATTTATGTACTATTTTATAACATTTCTTGTTTCTTGCATTTCTTCTTTTGTTCTGAAGTGCCAATCTTGGAACTTAAAAGGCATGCATTTATGCATAAGTTTTCTTTCATCAGACAAATGAAAGAATAAACATATAGGTAAAATATGGGCAATGGAAATTCCCCATGAATGATTTTTTTCTTTTTAATTCATAAATATACATTAATAAAGACACATACGTTAATAGAGTATGGAAATTGAAAAATAATTCATCTTTTCTTCACTGATACACATATTTAATGAATATTGTCCAAACAGTCACAGTAATATGAGCTAAGTATTACTATATTTATCTAAGGGACCTCTTTTCTTATAACATTTCAGCTTTCCAATTTTCAAACAAATAGAAATATTTTTTTAAAAATTGTGTGAATTAGATTGTCCACATAGCTTCTTAGTTATGGACTGTTTGCTGGGTAATTTTGGAAATTGCAGATATTAAGTGCTGTGTGTTTGTGTTTTTTGTATTTAGCTAGAGAGACTGCAAGCAGAAAGTACCTCAGGGTGGGACAGCACAAAATTACTTCAAACAGAAAAGCAAGGACTGGAGAGAGAAAACAGAAGACTGAAAGACCAGTTGAAAGAAATGGAAAAGCTCTTGGACAGGAAAAGCAGATTAAATACAAATTTTCAAGATCCTGATTTCAAGACATCGCAAGTTGATCTGCAAGATGAGAGCAAGGTGTGGTGCTCTTGGAAACGCCTGTTTTCTTACTGTGCGCTTCCTTCTGATGCCTAGGTGGACCTGCTTTTGCCCTTGTCTACCTCCAAATCCGAATATTTCTCTTTGTACCTGACAGCTAGCTCTTTTTTCTATTGTAATAAAAATAGCGTTGCTCATATATCTGAAATACAGTGTAACAAATTTTGGATGAAAATATGACACAAGAAGACAAATGAATCTTGATTTAATTTTGTTTTCTTTATAGCCTTGTGTTAGCACTATCAAAACTATTATCTTGTTTCCAATAAATATGCTTATCCACTATGCTGAGCAACCTGACAACAGCATTTATTGTTGTTTATAAGTATTCACATAAACACTTAAATTTACCAGAGACTTTCTGTTCTTTGATGTCTTGTCTCAGAATCATTAGAGTCAATTAAATGTACCTGTTTTTGCAAACAATTATTATAATTATGATAAAAATGTGAAAAACAGTATCAAATTTTAAAAATTAACTTTGGAATATCTAGGTTGTTTAGATATTATCACTTTAAGCCAATAGAGATGGGGATAGAAATTTTTTTCATTTTTAAATAAGCAATTTGAAGATTTTTAAATGTACTTCCAGTGATCGACTTAAAGTTATAAATTTGTGGTTTATTATAAATATGTTGTAATATATATACAGCTTGTTTCCAAGTTCTGGCATTAAAGTATCTACAGTATCTAAATATAGAATTCTTTTTTATTCAGTTGATTTAAAAATCTTTAGAATTCACTAATAGCTTCATAATTGTGAATCATATGAATTTTTTATACTCATATGAAATATAAAAGCTAAATGGCCAAAAACATTTAAGTGCCAATTTTCCCAATTCTTTTATGAGTTTTAAGTTTTATTACAAATCCAAGGTTAAAATGCATCAGTGCTTCATGACTTGACAATATAAATATCTAAAGGTAAATGTCATTGTCAGTGATACTGGTATGGTTTAGATTCATCATCTGTTCAAATATTGTATTTGTATCTCACAAATCTGTAGAGAAACTTTTTCCACATTTCTTAACAGAAGTATGTAATGTAGACTGGTTATAAAAAATACACTTTCCTATTTGATTTACTTAGGACAAACAATAATTATAACATTTGTCTGTCAGCAGCTACTCTCCATGCTCAAATGGAAAGATAAATGACTTACCAACCGTACTGGATGTGGGCTTGGAGTCCATACAGGCAGATGCACTTGCAGATTGCAATCAATAACATATCAGAATGATTCTTAAGAATAAAGTGAAATAGGAACATGGATGAAGAAGTAGTTCATTCTCCTTAATTTGAGACCTTACTAACTGTAGTAAAATGCCAGGGTAGAAGACATTTCAGTCAGGGGAGATGAGGGCTTATGGCAGCTCTTCGGAGCTGCTGTAGGTGATACTGGCATATCTTGTCACGAGGGTGCACCAAGATCAGGCCTGCACTCCTTGGGACTACTGCTGTTCTTTGGTCTGTAATGGGGCTTACTGTGGAAATGCAGGATTCTGGAAAGTCTAGCCAAAATGGAAGCTCGGTCTGTTCAACACTTAAAAGACTGTAAGATTGTCTAAGTGTTTATCAGTTTGATGTTGACAGTTTGATGTTTGATGGTGACTTTTATCTATTTCATTGAGAATACAGATTCCTAAAACCAACATAATGGCTTACTATGTAGCTGTTAAAAATCAAAATTCTAATACCACAAAAACTTGAAATGTCAAGATTCAGGTGTCCCCAAATGTCAAACAAACCAATGATGTGCAAAAAGAAGTGAAAATCCAAAGATTAAGGTAGATTTTTATCATAATAAAAAACATGGTGGCAGTTTAGCATCGTATATATGACATTGTGTGTGTGTGTGTGTGTGTATATATATATATATATATATATATATATGTGTGTGTGTGTGTATACATATATATGTACTTAAATATCATATATTAGTACATTGTCTCTTGTCTTTTCTGTCTCTATATCTCTCTGTATTTTATGTAACCATCTGTGTGTACCATATATGAGTATCACATATAGATATATGAATATACATATCACATGTGTATACTGTGTCTATGTATGTCTACATTTGTATGTAAATATTCTACCTGAGTGAGTTATCACATGGAATGAACTACTACAGACATCACACACTTGTCTCTATTTAAAGGGAAGTATGATCTCTTACTATGTATATTTATATCTAATCATATTTACCATAAGTTTGTGGCAGACACAAAACTACTTGCTACTTAAGGGACATTAATAATGTCTTGATTCATTCAATACATTTTTATGAATCCCCACTAATACAAAAAGTGAGGATTTTTTCACTTCATTTATTTGACTTCCATGTTACAGGAGATAGATTTTTAAGAAAAGTGAATGTCAATTTTAAACTACACAGTTTTTCAAAAGCAAAGATTACTTTTATGTAAATGACCTTATACATTTAATCTCCATTTGATAGTTATGTTTATGTAATATACATATGTAATATACATTGTAAATTAAGGAAAACAGTGGTGCATCTGACTTTTTGTAGTAGACTGGAATATTATAACTTGAGTAGTAACATTTTTAAAGCATAAATCACTATCGTAGACTTTTCTAAAACAATCTCTGCATGTTGACTCTGATTTGTTGTAGCTTCTGAAAATAGTGATATTGTTGCATTGTTCTATGGCATTAGTGTGGTTCACAAAATGATGGCATCAGATAGGCGAACTTCAATGTCATTATTTATCGGAATGCAGTCTTCATCTTAAATGATTACAAAGACATTTGAAAATTAGCCTTATAAAAACAAAAGTAAGTCACAGTATATATTTTAATGAAATTATGAATATGTATTTGAACCTTTTACTCTGTGGCCATTAGTAAATTATGTCCTTGGTATATACTTATTAGGATGCATAATTTATTCAACATTTTTAAAGAACTCAATTTATATTTATGCATATGGATAAGCAGACATTTACAATAATTAATATGATTTAATGTTTATAAAAACTTATAGTACATCCAGAAATTAAATTCACTAGCATTAGCTATTTGTTGGAAACTTTTCTTGGTTTTCTTTTATAATATTTTGGTAAATAAAAATTCTTACAAAATTATAGCAATATGAAAAATAGCGTGTATATGTCACTTTGTAATGTGTAAAAAAACTGCAAATGTTTGGTCTTTGGCTCTTAAGTTTTGAATTTCTATGTGGTGGTTTATAAAATATATTAGCACAGTAAATATCTATATAATATTATTAAAGATAAATAAAGAAAATGGACACATGCCAACTATTTCATTTTTCTCATTTCTCAGTGAATAGATCAGCAATGTATATATTTTAGCCAGATCTCAGCATAACGTACATATAAAATTGTTGGAGACTGAGCTTAGACTGAAATAAAAGTGCTTAGTAGATGAAAAACTGGCTTTTCTATAGTGGGTAGAGTAATAAATTCCTCTATCACCAGAAGTAATTATCCCATATGTGCATGGGAGGAAAACATTTGCGTTGCTATTGATTGTGTGCATATTATATGGAAAAGAGTTTAAAGAAATTAAAAATTTTAGAACTGTATAGAATCTTCCTCAGAAGAATAAATTAGAGAAAATGAACTAAAATTTTTATTGTCACAAATTTTCTTCATGGTATAAGTTATTTGATGCATCTGCTTAATAAACTTTTACATATAAACATTCTAACAGGCCCCTGGGAGTCATACTCATGGCTAGGAACCGGCAGACATTTGCTGTAAACATCAAGATTGTAAATAAGGTATTTAGTTCGTGTAAGACTCTGCTGCATTTTTAAAATTATAAGTTTTAAAAATGCAGAGAATATGCTTCATTCATGAGGTAGAGCTGGGTTTGGATGTGAATCACAGCTGGGTAAACTGTGCTCTAGACCTGTGACTCATAAGATTCAGTGTGCAGAAAGTGCCAGGAAGGAAAGTGTGTGGCCAAGCTGGGGGTAAAAAGATGGAGGACAAAACAGCTCTGCTTAGCACACTTCCTCTCACCGACTAGCATTTTAAAATATTCTTGAAATGAATGAATTTAACATCAAAAGAACAAAGAGCGGTGTAGTGACATGTAACCAATAAGTCATCTATGAATCCCAGTACTGAAACATGAAAGGTGGGTGGGTTTTCCTAGATAGATTTGAGACGTGAAGCTGAACTCTAGAATCAGTATCTTACATACATGACAACCATAGTGCAGGGCACAGATAGACGAGACTTATTCTTCTTGGAGTTAAATAAAAGCCATCGTGAGCCACAGGGAATGCACAACCTGAGGCTGCTCACGAGTTGGTCCTAGTGCCATTTTTCTACTTCTGTATCTCCCTCTTCTCCCTTTGCTCACTAACATTTTAGAACCAAAAACAAGACATGAGGAAGACAAACAAGAACCAGGAAATGAAGAGTCAGGTTTGTATCCATTATAATGAGAGAAGACATAATAAATTAAGAGATAATAAACACACGGAACCTAGTACTTATCAAGAGCAGTCCAAATTTTTTTGAAATTCTCTCATTTATTGGTACATTTTAGATATACGTAATGATCGTATTCATCATATGAATTTTGTCCCCTCCGTGCCACCTTTGTATAAAGATAAACATGACATATGTCTTAATTCTCTTTTCCCATCCCCTACCTTCCCTTCAATCCTTCTTTCCCTCAAAGTGTTGTGTCCATTTATCTTCTCTCCTCACCTTTTTCTTTTCCCTTTCTTCATTTCCTCTGTCCCCATCTCTAGTTCTCCTTACCATATGTGCATTTTATTCCTACTTCATAATATCTAGTAAACATTTTAATTCTTATTTACACTTCTAGTTTCTCAAACCAGAGAAGCAATGCAATATTTACGTGTGTGTGTGTGTTTCATCTATTTCCCTTAGTGGTATGCTCTCAAGGTGCAGACAGCTAGAACGACAAACCCCAGCCATTATTTTTTTCCTGGTATCTATGGCTTAAATGGTGCTTTGTGTTATTCATTGTAGGACACAGATTATTGTCCTAATAATGGCTTAATTCCTCTGTTGAGGTGCAGGCTTTGTACTTGCTATTGCAGATAATACTTTTTCAAACGAAATGTTCCTGGAAAAGTGGTCAGTATTCTTTTCAGTAAGACTCTATCCAGTTGTCAATGTGCCTTTAGTGCAGTGTTTTGGAATCTTGTTTTCTTGAACTATTTTGGCAACTGAAATCTTTTCATTCAGATCACATAATGGGCCCCTTTTTAGAAGCTAATGTGACAGGGCAGTAATTGATGTGTGTAAGGAAAATAAAAAATTCAACTGAAAGTTAAAAGGCCATCAAAGTCAATTCCTAATTGATTTGTTTTACTGACAGGAGACTACATACAAGGAATGACATTGCATTCATTTTGTTTAATGACTTTGGCTTCAAAGATACTTATTTTTTTTAGTTACCACTAAATTTCAGTCTCCACTAGGTATTTGGCACATCCGCTTTAATGTGTCACCATGGATAAGTATTTATATGTGTTTATATTTAGATTTTCATTATTTAAATTTGATTGTATATTTAGATTTATATGCAATCCCCATGTCTTTTATTCTATATGATTATTGTATGTTAGTTTTAAAATTTCCAAGCCCAATGCTGCAGGCTTATAATGTCAGCACTCTGAGAGACTGAGGCAGGAGTGTAAAGCCCAGCCTGTGTAATTTAGTGAGCTAAGGAAATCCTATTTCAAAATTTAAAAAAAGGAAAAGAGTTAAAGATGTGCTTAGTGAAAAGACTCTGGGTTCAATCCTTTGTAAACACACACACACACACACACACACACACAAACACACACACTTCCAAGTGTATGAGAAAGATGACATTGTATCACACATCTAATTAAAGTTGTAAATTCTGATATTTTAAACTATTTATATAATACTGGAATTGCAGTAAACTTTATAAAGTATGACAATTAGATTTGAAAGTATACCTTTTTGTGTTTGATGTGAATAGCATACTACTAGTAATCTACTTATAATGTGATCAACAGTTCATATAGCTGTTACAAGTTGATTTATATTAGCTTTCTTTACAGCAATGATAAAAAAGTAATTTACAACCTTACATAAAATGACATGAGACTATGATCACATCACAATTCTTTAAAATTAAAACTAAAACAAATTTAAAATAAAAGTGGATTACTGAAAATTGAAAGAATTTTAGTAACTCTAAGCCATTGACTATTATTTTATTATTGAAGTGAAATCACATAGGATTAATTACTTTAAATTGAGCAATTTATTAGCATTTCTTACATTCGTAATGCTGCACAAACACCACTCTACCTAAGATCTAAAACATGTTCATTATGCCCAAGGGAAACCAAGGGAACAGAGTAACTACAAAATTGTCCCTCTCTCAAGCCCAGCAATCCTGATATTATATTGAGCATATTTTAAAGTGCTAATTAGGCATTTATACATGTACCTTCTTTCACAATGTATATTTTAGCCTTTTGTCATTTTTAATTGTGTTAGTTTTCTTCTTGCTAACTTGTGAGAATTCCTCATGTATTTTCTAAACTATTATAAAATACGATTTCTGAATGTTTTCTCCAGTTCTTCATATTTTCTTTTCATTTTCTCAGTTTTTGTCTTTTGATGTGTTCATATTTAAATTTTGAAAAATTCAATGTATTTTTTCTTTCATTGCCTATGCATTTGATGTCAATTAAAAATGCACTTCTAAGTCCAAGATTTGCCCCTATTTTGTCCCTATGATTTTATAATTTTACTATAAATAAAAAAATAAACTGGGTAAGTGATTAATGTAAAGTAATTTTTGTCAATGGTATGAGACAGAAGTGCAATTTCCTTATTTTGTATGTTGATATCCTGTTGTCTCAGCAGCATTTTGGAAAGAAACTATTTTTTTTTTCTGCCACCAAATGGTCTTGGTTCTCTTGTCATAAAATGATTTCCATTAATTTATAAATATTCCCAGATGATGGTTGTAAAAGCTCTATTTAAAAAAAATTACCATTTATTTGTTGAACATTTTGAAGTCAGGAAGTGTGGGTTTCCAACTTTGCTTTTCTCAACATTTTGCATAGCCAGTATCTGCTGAAATCTCACATGAATTTGAGCTTTGCTACTTCTGCAAACTTGCCAATAGGTTTCAGATGGGGATGACCTTGAGATGGCTCAATGCTTTGGGGCATTTTGATATTTTAACAGTGTTAAGTACTATATTCCTATCTGTGAATACGGCATGTCTTTCCATGTACTTGTGTAAGTTTCAGTTTATAACTTTTTTACCTGTTTGGTTTCTATATATTTTTTTTCTTTTGGATGACAGTGGAAATAGTATTAATTTTTAAAATTTTAGTTTTATATTGTTCATTGCTTAGGTACAACTGATGTTTCTGTGTGCTGCTTATTATTTTCCTGAATTTGTTATAATACTGTCTTTGTTTTGCTGGAATTTTCTCTGTAAGCTAACATCATCAATGAAGAGAAAGTTTCCTTCATTTTATTTATTTATTTTTGCTCAATTTGAATGTCTTTTATTTCTTTGTCTTGCCTAAAACATCTGGCAAAAATTTAGAGTATGATGTTGAGAAACACAGTAAAAGTCAGCATCCTGTGTTGTATGTGATCTTACGAAGAAAAATTTCTGAGGCTTTACCGTTGATCATTAGTTTACATAAGGGTTTTTCATATATTGTCTCCTATCTTAGGGAACCATTCCTCCTGCTTCATTGATGTTTTATTTTTCTCCTTCAGATGTTACTGAGTTTTGTCAAATGTTTCTCTGTTTCCTTTGAGATGATGATATGTTTTATTTCTCCTTTCTTCCTTCCATTAGTATGTTTTGGACTTGTTCTTGTTCTTGTTCTTGTTCTTGTTCTTGGTCTTGGTCTTGGTGATTCTCGGGGTGGAATCCAGATTCTTGTGAGTGGTAGGCAAGCACAACTTCACTGAGTTACATTCCTAGCTGTAATGTGGTATTTTAAAATTTTTTCTTACAGGACACTACCCTAGCATTTTGGTATACATCCCACTTGCTCATAGTGTACATTTTTTGAATAGACTGTTGGACTCTTTTTCCAAGTATTGAATTTATAATACTTATAATACTTTCATGTATATTTCTAAGTGTATTTGTCTAAAAGTCTTTTCATTTTATTATCTTTTCTAGATTTGGGTCAGGATAATGCTGGTCAATAGAGATGAGAAAGTACCACAAAGATTTCTTACCCTACATAAGTTGTCTTCAGTGATTAGTTTTTCTTCTGTGCTGATTGTTTA